CCCCGCCCCCCAGCTGCTCTGAAGGAAAGGGTGGGGCTCAGAAAGTGGTGCAGGAGGAAGGGATCCTTTGTCCCTGTCCTTGGGAAGTGCCCTGCCCTGCGAGAGCTCAGGGTGGGGAGTGGAGGGCCCGGGTCTGGGGCCTCCTTCCTCGGCCATGAACCAGTTGGGGGTTCTAGGTCAGGTTCCTGACCCTGGGTCTCGGTCTTCTCATCTGCCACAGAGGGACACACAGAGAGCGCAGTATCAACTGTCTCACGAGGTGGTTTCTACAGCAACACAGAAGGGCACGGAGGAGCCAGCTGCCAAGGTGAGGCGGACAACCACCCGCTGTACAGATCCTTCATTCTGGGCCGGAAGGAGGGTTTCCTGTTTGGGATGATGTCACTTCATGTCCTAATGGACCTCGTGGCCCTTGGGGGTACACCCATGTTGCAGTTGGGAGTGTGGCGTGTCAGAAAAGGGACTCGGATCTGAACTTACCTGGAGTTGGAAGAATTTAAAAACATGATTTTTGTGAAAGTAACTCAGTCTGGGGCATGGTATACAGTAAGTGCTCAAGAAAGGCTGACTTTCCCTGGTTATCTCAGACACGCTGCTGAGGACCACATGAGCTTGAAGGACACATCCCTTGCTCCCTCACCTGGAGACGGGGCGAGGACCCCCCAGCATCTGGGCCAGGCAGAGACGCAGGAGGGGGCAGCCTCTCTGGGTACTCACAGCCGCCGTGAATCCAGGCTCTTCCCTTGGTCTGAGGCTCCTGAGGGGTGAGATCGGAGGTCTTTGCCCAATACCCCCCTTGCCCTCCTCAAGCATCATGACGCCTGGACCTGCCCCCCGAGCTCGGCCCGACATGGGCTTTTCTGTAAGTGCCAACTCGCCCCGGCTGGACCTTCTGGGGTCAAATCTTTGCATGGGGGGAGGCTACCTGCCAATCCTCTCCACTCCTGTCCTCGTCACAGCCACAGGAGAGCGTCCCCTTCCACTGACCATGCATTGCCACTCTGTGAGGTCAGGCTGAGAGAATGATCTGGGTCTCGGGTCTCTCTCAGCCTCGGGAGAGCTCTGTCTTGCACAGAGGAGGGGAAACTCCGACCTCTTCACCCCAGGGCAGCTGCTGCTGCCTCCCAGAGACAAGGAACGCCCCAGGCCCACCCACCTGTGAGAAGGCCGCACTCCGGCCTAGGCCCCAGGGGGAGGAGCCTCTGCTGGAGGCCTCCACCTTCTCGAAGACTCTGAGGTGACCAGACTGTCCCTGGGGGCAGCTCCTGGTTCAGAGCTGGCTACCATGCTCGTGGGGTTGTGAAGGAGCGAGACCCGGTTGGGAGAGTCTTGCTGCTAGGGTCTGGCGTGATGACCTTGGGCATGACTTTCCGGGCTCCAGTATGACTTCAGCAGGGTCCTGAGCCCTGTGTCTCCTCGGGCCACGGAGGTTGGAGTGTGGGGCATCCTTCACGGACCCCTTTGAAGATCTCAGGAGAAACTGAGCAGACTCGGGGAAGACTGAGAAGAGGGAAGGTTTTAAACCCCCATTGAGGACCCATTCTCAGATACCACAACGGGGACCGCTCTCCTGAGGGAGCTCCTTGGGGTCAGGATGGGATGAGCATGACCTAGAAACTACTTATTCTGAGCACAGGCGTCTGTCCACCCATCCA